ATAGTGACATACCTCAGAAGCAGGTAGTCTAAAACTGTACTTAGAAGGGAAATATTTTTTGGATGGAAAGATGAGCAAGGAAAGTGAAAAAGCAGAACTGGTCTGGTGATTCCATTCCCCCTGGGCTTGTCATTGTACAGAAATCATTGTACAGTATTGCTATATAACTAGTTACAAATAATTGGAATTGAATGAAGTATGGGCAAGTTACGGGTTTAGTTTAATATTGATCACAGATAGTTTTTTATAAATGAGAACTTGAGTATTCATCAAAATATACAAGAAAATAGTTGCCTTTGATACACACAAACATACATGTGAGTTTCTCTTTTCTTTCCTGTAAAATCTGAGGATTGTGCTTTTTAATAGTGGCTTGCTAATCCCTTTAAATAGCTCTTAATGTAAGTATTCCATAATTTTCATTAACTGTGAATTTCAGCCTTTTTTTAAACCTCCATTCAAAAACCATATTTGATGGTTGTTCTACCAGTACCCTTTTAGCTTGGCTGGTGAAGCAGCAAGCCTACCATAAATCCTAAGTGGCCTGGTACAGATGAGAGTCTAAGACTTTAATTATACGTCCTTTTATTCACAACACTCAATTCCAGGAAGGAGAAAATGACTCTGTTGTTGTAAAAGACATATGTGAGTATCATTCATTGTAAACCAAAAATGATACTGTATTATAGCATAGACAACAATGAGAACTGATTCTGAAAATGTGACCTGACTGAGAAACTGAATAATAGTGAAAGTTATCAAAATGGAAAGAGTGTTAATGTGAAATCCAGCCTTCTCAGAAATACTCTTTCCTGGTCTGTTTGGTTTTGCTTTTGTTGCTTGTCATGCATGAATGAAAGTGCTATAATCTCAGGGGAGCAGGAAAGCCTCTGTGTCGGTTGTTTATTTCCTTAATCCCTCCTCCTTTGTGATTTTTGATGTCAGATCTAAAATGGAAAGCCTGTAAATATAATGATTATCACATGGATAATCACCTGCATTAGGAACCGCCCTGCTTCTCTATTCTAACCCGAGCTGTTCTCCACATGTCACATCCACTCTGCGGTTAGATTTTAACCTGACTGCTTCATTAGATTTGTGAAACTCAGTACGAGGCGCCCTGGGGCAGCACAGATGGGGACTTGCTTGTTTTCTTTTCTCACTTTTCCTGCAAAAGCGCACTAAAAAGTCCTTTTCAATTTAGTGCGATCAGTTCACTTGGAATTACCCCTGATATTTGGAACCTGCCTTACCCTTCTGCCCACCATCTATGCCCATTCTTTCTTCCTTGTTCTCTGACCTAATGCCTTTTCTTTCTGTCCCTTCATGCAGTGCATCCGACAAGTAAAATTCTGCTTAAAATTCTTACTGGGTCAAACTATTCCCCTGTGTTGTTTTGTTTGTTTTGCTGAGAGGGAAAAATAAATGTTGTTCCATCATTGTATCTACAAACACCTTCAGATCAGAGGTTAGCTGTGGGAAAGATTGCAGTGATGTGAGCCAGCTGCCTTCTCTAATGGAGTGACTTGGGGCACCAGCTCAAGATCAAAAGACGGGAGGAGGAAGTCAGAAGATAAGATCATTTTAAGCCACAGAACAAGTGCTTAGCTTTGCTAGTGATAGGGCACAGCTCGCAAACCTGTGTGAAGGGGCACTAAGAGAGAAAATTGCATTGACTTTTCTTAAGTACATCCTTCCTCAGTCAGAAATATGCTGATACTTGGATTAATTTACAGACATGGACGCATCGTAGGGCCTGTCTTCCTACAATTAGTTCTATACCATAACAGATCAGAGTTAATTTCTTACTACATTTGTATGAGTAAAACTGGACATTCAAAAAAAGTTTAATTACTGCATGTAAATTTTGATTACTTATGTCTTGGTGCGATGTTAGTCCTACAGATTCTTCATTTTAACTTTGTCTTACAGTCCTTTTGAGATAGTCTCACTTTGTCGCCCACAGTAGAGTACTGTAGCATCATAGCTCACAGCAACCTCAAACTCTTGGGCTCAAGCGATTCTCTTGCCTCAGACTCCTAAGTAACTGGGACTACAGGCTCCTGTCACAATGCCCGACTATTTTTAGAGACAGGGTCTCACACTTGCTCAGGCTGGTCTCAGGCAGTTCACCCACCTGGGCCTCCCAGAGTGGTAGGATTCCAAGCATGAGCCACTGCACCCAGCCTCCTCTGGGGTTCTTTCATACCTCTGTTGAAGTTCCAGATGAGTAAGTAGTTCTAGCAGAGCTTTTCTGCTGGTTTCTTTCATATAAGAATTGGCTTGGTTATGACAGCTTGGAAAACTTTGCATTGATATCTTGTTGTGAACTTCATCCTTTTCCTTGAGATTCTGGCCTGCAAATATTATTGACTATGTGATGTACACAGTTTTGTTGTAAGTAAATTGTCAAGAGGCTAACCTTGCTTGCACCAGTGTCAAGATCACAAATCAATTACTTTTTCTTTTCTTTTCTCAGGGGGGGAAGGGGTTTATATCAACTAAGGCTCACTTGGTCAGGCTTGTATTTCTGCAGTGAGCAGCCTGAGGAATTGTACTTGCAGCTTGTCATCTTCTGTGAACCTCCGTGCTCCGTGTGATTGTGCGTTTTGACCTTTCTAAACCCTCAAAATGTTCTCTAAATCTGTATGTTATTAGTATATCGGACCATAATTGTGTGTATATGTATTTTTTTGGTACTCAACATTGTCCTCACGATGTAGCTAATACTCAAATTTGTGCTAGAGACGTTGACTGTACTTTCTGCCTTACATGGTTTGGTGCAGCAGCCGTTTTAGTTGAGTTGGATCCGCTCACTAGTCAGGCTCAAATCCCATCCTTCTATTAATATCTCTTGGCAAAGATAATTTTGGAGGAATGTAAGTTAAGATGTAGAGGCTCTTGACAGTTGTCTGCAATTTTTTTCATTTTCAAGAGGGAAGTAGAGTTGAAAAGTAATATTGCCTCCATTTTCTTACCATCCTAAAATTAAAATATGTTCACAAAGCGAAGGGAAGGATTTGGTTACGCAGATGTGTCTTTATCATTTGATAACATATTGTGAAGGGATTGGAGTATAAAATAATGCTTATCAGATTGTGCCTTTAAAATATTTAAAATCTATTTACTAGTAGAACTTTGTCTGTTAAAAAAAAATTAACCATATATGTTTTTTAGTGTTCAACTTTTGTTACCCTGTCATCTTCCAGTAAAGGGAAATGAGAGATTTTTTGACTGTTAATTATAAAAATTTTTAAACATGCAAAAAAGTAACAATTCTGAACCCTCACATATATATATACATGTATGTATATATATATCCTGTACCTAGATTTGAAAGTCATTAACATTTTGCCATTTTAGTTTCTCTTTAATTTTTTCCTGAATTATTCTAAAGCATGTGGATCATTAAAAAAGTTTTGAAATACACAGCAATCAAGAAATGTAAAATCAGCAGTGCCCATACCTCAGTGGGTAGGGCATTGGCCACATACACCCAGGCTGGGGGGGTTGAATCCAGCCCAGGCCAGTTAAACAACAATGACAACTGCAACAACAACAACAACAACAAAAATAGCCAGGCATTGTGGCAGGCACCTGTAGTCCCAGCTACTTGGGAGACCCAAGCAAGAGAATCACTTAAGTCCAAGAGTTCAAGGTTGCTGTGAGCTGTGATGCCACAGCACTCTACCCAGGGTGACATAGTGAGACTCTGTCTCAAAAAAAATAAAAGAAATGTAAAATCCACATGGACAGAAACAACTGAAGCCCTCCCAGCAAAACCCATACGGCTGAGCAAGTTGAAACTTGCATGGGTGAATCTGAAAAGAACGTGTTGACTATGTTTCTTAGGAGGGAAATAATGGACCAAAACACAGTCTGTCTCAAGACTTTCATAGTGACCTACTAAATTACATAAATGATGGCATTTCATCCCTAGATACTTCAGGGTACATTTCTAAAAGTTAAGGACATTTTCCCTTTCAAAAGAATAATTCCTAATATTATCTAATTTCCATTTCATATTCAAATTTCTCCAGTTGGCCACAAAATGTCTTTTATAGCTGGTTTGTTCAAAACAGAATCCAATTAAGGTCCATACATTGCTCTTGGTCGTTTTCCCCTTCCCATTATATCATGATAATGACTTGCTAAAGAGACTAAGGTGGTCCTGTAGAATGTCCTTCCTGATGGATTTCTCCAATTGCTTTCTCAGGGTACCCTTGAACATGTTCCCCCATCTCTGTAATGCTTGTAGACTGTAGGTTAATATAGGAGTAGAATTTTGATTAATTCATGTTATAATTTTTTTGATCAGAATACTTTATAGGCGATGCTGTGAACTTCATACTGCATTATAACAGAAGGCACAGAATACTTGGTGATCCCATTATTAGGGATGATAAGTGATAGCATTGATCATTGGGTTAAAGTGATGACAGCTTGATCCTTCCATTATAAAGTTATACTTTGCTCCCCGTGACCAGCATATAATCTGTTGATACTTTGATTCCCTGTCACCCAAGGAATTAAACATGAATTGATGATCCCTGTCTGTAATAAATTTCATCATGAGGATTATAAAATAGTGATTATTCTGAATCTGTATGTTTATTAACAGACATTCTTCTATATAAAAGAGCTTTTGGAAAGGTATTGTTTTAATTAAAAACATGACCAGCAGCACGTTCCTTAGGTTTCAGATGATTGTCTTTCTTTACTAAGGTCAGAACACCTGAACTCACTGTGGCAGCTACAGTAAAAACATACCCTACATCTTCTTTATTCCAACTTGTGAAGTGTGTTGACATTATGCTGCCTTTTTTTTCTTATTCCACAGGAAGAAAGAAATCTTTATTGGTGTAAGAATAAAAATTGAACTGTGTGGGTATATTGAGATAATTGTGTAAAAAGAAGACTGTTTGAATGAGTTTCAAAAATGGATTATTTCTTCATTACCTAGCACTTTGTAATTAACTGTTCTTTTTTTTTTATTTCAGGAAGCTGCCACTTTTGCTAGAGAGCAAGGCTTTGAGGTGAGTTAACCCACAATTGCACACTAAACAGATCCTAAAGGTTTTTTCTAGCTGATAATGAAGTTCTTTTGGACAGTGATTGATGTGCTATTATACTCTCAGAGCCTCGCAGCAGTTGCCATGGAAACTTGGCAGTCGTCATGGTTTCTTTGTTCTGCCAGCACAGTGTTATGACGCACTCTGCTAGGTCTGCACCCAACATCGCCTACAGATGTTATTTATTGAATTTTGAAAAGCCTCTTGGGAAGCCAAGAGGTTGGGCACGGTTTCAAGCTGCCTCTGCAGATATGGGGCCTGTCAGTTTGTTCAGTTAAAAAGCTACCTCATTAGCTGCATTACATTTCATAAGGATTCACTGCTGAAGCAGTGGTGGAGCAAGACTAAATAATGAAATATAATGTCGTTTCAATAATTTCAACCCTATCACATGTAGATTTTCATTATGCAAATTAATTTCCAAAAGGTGGTGCTTAACAGTTGCTGGGAACTGATTAATTTAAATCCTGCTCATGTAGACTTCCTGTTTGGACCTATTTTTTCTACTCTTCCCCCCCCCCTTTTTGATGGCATAAAATATATATAAGTTTTCTGAAATAAAATACCAATAACATTTAATTTCCAGGTTCTGGTTTTATTTTCCTGATACAAGTAATGATCCTATTAAGATTCAAAATTCCACGTAGTTGTTGGCAAAACTGAGACAACAGTCAAGACGGTGTTTCTTATTTTGTATTATATCCACATTCCAATTGATTGTTAGAAACACTAATAGGAACCCAGGTTAAGTGACAGAGAAATAACTGAGTTTATGAGGCTTGTATGACTATGCTATCTATTGAGCCAGAACCATGTGGAATGCTCTGTTCTGTACAGCAACTTAAAATGTTGTACGATAGTTTTTAAAAATTCAATCTCAACTAGAGCTGTGAAATATCAGAAATCCCTCCTTATTTGCATTCTCAGAATTGTCTCTCGTCTACAGCAGCTGTGAGCATTGATTAGCTAGTATTAGTAAGCTCACTTTGAACTTTTTAGAGAAAGGTGTTGTATGAATTTGTAATGTAACTGTTACTTAAATGTAGTAAATGTGGATTCATTATTGAGCAACAAAGTGAGACACGTGCATATCGTATCATGGGACTCGACAGACCAGAGAGAGCTGCCTCTTCATAGAGGAGGAGAACGAGCATGTGGGATAAGTACTCAACTCCCAAGATTCTGTGAAAAAACTATTTCAGGGCAGGAAACCCTGCCATAGAATACTGAATTATTGGGAAGTGTGATAGTTTCGTGGAAGTTTGCATTGTTTGTTCTACCAGATGCTGGTGAAACTCTAGGGTTGAGTCACATGTAAAAAAAGGATTTACAAGGATTTTCCCCTAATTTGTACCAAACTGGTGACTAAATTTTCCTAAACAGGAAAATATTCAGTTTAATACATTGACTGCCACACTCAGAAAAAGAAATTTTTTCTTGGGGCCAGTGTTTTATTACAAAACTTCAAAAATAGGCTCTGCGCCTGTGGCTCAAGCGGCTAAGGCACTACCCACATACACCTGAGCTGACGGGTTCAAATCCAGCCCGGACCACCAAACAACAATGACGGCTGCAACCAAAAAATAGCCAGGTGTTGTGGCGGGTGCCTGTAGTCCCAGCTACTTGGGAGGCTGAGGCAGAAGACTCGCTTGAGCCCAGGAGTTGGAGGTTGCTGTGAGCTGTGGTGCCATGGCACTCTACCCAGGGCGACAGCTTGAGGCTCTGTCTCCAAAAAAAACTTCAAAAATCAAACATACATCAATTAAAAAAGTAATATAAAAACTTGAAAATTAGTAATGTGAAAACTTGAAAAATAGTTTATAATTCACATGGCAGTTAATCAGAAACTATAAAGAAAAGTCAAGCTGGAGGCCGGGCACAGTGGCTTTCACCTGTCCCGGAGGCCAAGGTAGACAGATAACCTGAGCTCAGGAGTTGGAAACCAGCCTGAGCAAGAGCGAGACCCCGCCCCTAAAAGTAGCCCGGTATTGTGGCAGGTGCCTGTAATCCCAGCTACTCTGGAGGCTTAGGCAGGAGAATCGCTTCAGCCCAGGAGTCTGAGGTTGCTATGAGCTATGATGTCACAGCACTCTGCCAGGGGCAACAAAGTAAAACTCTGTCTCAAAAAAAAAAAAAGAAAAGTCAAGCTGGGCATGGTGGCTCATGCCTATAATCCAAGGATTTTGGGAAGCCGAGGTGGGAAGATTGCTTGAGGCCTAGAGTTTGAGACTAGCCTGAGCAACATAGTAAGACCTGTCTTTACAAAAATACAAAAATAACCAGATGTGATGGCACGTGCCTATAGTCCCAGTTCCAACTACTCAAGATTCTAGGGCAAGAGGATTGCTTGAGTCCAGGAGTTTGAGGTTGCAGTGAGCCTTGATAATGTCAGTGCACTCCAGTCTGGGCAACAGAGTGAGACCCTATTTTGAAAAAATCTCTCTCTCTCTAAATATATATATATACACACATATATATGTATACATGTATGTATGTGTGTATATATATGTATATGTATAGGCTGGGCATGGTACTCACTCCTGTAGTCTTAGTACTCTGTGAGGTCAAGGCAGGAGGATTGCTTACAGTCAGGAGTTTGAGACCAGCCTGAGTAAGGGGGAGACTCGTCTCTACTAAAAATAGAAAAATTAGCCGGGCCTTATGGATATATAGTCCCAGCTGCTAGGGAGACTGAAGCAGAAGAATTGGTTGAACCTGGACGTTTGAGTTACCGTGGGCTAGGCTGATGCCACAGCACTCGAGCCTGAGCAAACAGAGTGAGATTCCTATCTCAAAAAACTAATAATAAATTTATTGTATATGTATATGTATATATATATTTACATATAACGAAAAGTTTTCAGTCATTTTTTTAAAGTTTTACTGATTTTAAGTTTTAATAGTAAAAATTAATATTGATATATTTGTTGATTCATCAAAATCTCCATAGATAAAAGCTTATAGAATATAAATTTATATCTTGTCAGCTTACTATTATATGTTACCATAAAAATATATATTTTGGACTTGGCGCCCATAGCTCAGTGAGTAGGGTGCCAGCCACATACAACAAGGCTGGCAGGTTCGAGCCCAGCCCAGTTCTACTAAACAACAGTGACAACTGCAACCAAAAAAATAGCTGGACATTGTGGCAGGTACCTGTAGTCCCAGCTATTTGAGAGGCTGAAGCAAGAGAATCACTTAAGCCCAAGAGTTTGAGGTTGCTGTGAGCTGTGATGCCCTGGCACTCTACCAAGGGTGGCATAGTGAGACTCTATCTCAAAAAAAAAAAAAGAAAAAAAAATATATAGGGTCTATAAAATAACAAATTTTGCAGATACTTGGAAGTTTAACATGTTGTATAACAAATGATCATGATCCTACAGTACCTAGATAATAGTTTTAAAAAATAGTTTATTAAGCTTGTATATAATTCATAATTTTATTGTCCCGTTGAGCTACTTGCTTTGAATATGCCTGGTTTACATTCAGTCTTACCAACAGCTTATTTTTTCTCTTTTCTACTAACCAGCACTGTATTAACCTTTTCATTAGTTCTTGCTTATTGATTCTGGAATTGTTTCTTTTTGCCACAAATCTGCCATAATTGATTAGAGCATATAAACAAAATGATGTTGATAATCATATACCTTATTACCTCCTGACAGAGCAGAATTCCTCTGTCAGTAATGTTGACAATGATTTGCTAGACAAGGCACATAGTATCTTGATGTGTCCCTCCGTGGGTTCCCCAAAACATTACAAGCGTTACAGAAATATATATGAGCCATGAGTGGGATCACCACATTGTTAATAAAAGATAGTCCAGACAGAATGCTATCTAGAGAAACTCAGACATTTTGTGCCATTAAAATTTCCTTAGTCTGTTAGACAGAAATAAAAAAGCATAGGTTTGGAACGTGGTATTCGTAAGGAATAAAACAAGAATAAATGACTTTAACAGTTTTCTGTAGGGAAATGTGTTAATGCTCTCGAGGATATGATAAACTAGACAAAAATCTACATTTTATCCCTCCTACTTTAATTTTGCCTCTAAATTTGGACCATCAAGAAGAGAGAAATGGAAAGATGAGAAGAAAGGACAGGTGAGCATTTTTTCCTTTCCACTAGCCTTGCTGTCCTGCCCTCCTTTTCTATTATAAATCCCAATCAGTTCCCAGAGCCACGGAGTATTGCCACTGGTGATCTGTCTGCTGACAGACCAATCCGAATGCCTCTAAAAATAACCAGTGCTTATTCATCAGGAAGTATCCTCAGTGGCATTGTTTATGATATTTTGGTTCACTTCTCTGCAAATTTTAGATAATCTTTATTTTTTTTAAAAAAAATCTTTAATCGTTAAAATGAACTGCACCATTTTCAGTGAGAAGCAGCAGCTTAGGAGGGCACTGGAGAATGAGATAAAAACTGGAGCTGGGCAGAGCACAAAGCAGAAGAGAGAGGATTTTTTTTATATAGGTGATGGAAAATTGCATAGTGCCTGATTTAAATGACAGGCCTGCTAAGAATTTAAAATGACAATTCTTGGAGTAAAAAGTTTCGTGTGGCCTTTTATTATTCTAGAAAATCAGTTCAGACTGTGATGTGTTTTTAAATCTACCTTTTCTTGAGCTGAACCAATTAAGGTTCATATTTCTAAAACAAATAAAAATAAGATCCTTAAAAACTACTGAAAATTGGTTTAAATTAAGGGGAAGAAAATACCCCCCAAACCTAAATATAGATACTCTCTAAATCACATTGTCTCTGCAACAGCTCAATGCCAAATGATGAACAGAATTCATATCCTCCTGGCATATTTATTCAGTTTTACTCCAAGCAACAAATTTTAATTTTTTTATCTTAAATTTTGGGATACAATACTTCTGTTCATATAGAAGAAACAAAACAATCCTTCTCCTTTTTCTTACTTCCTCCATAGCCCCTGACCATCTAGAACAGTG